ATGTGACTGCCAACTTCTCAACTCACAGCGGCAAATTAACTGCCCAGCAGGGCCGAAATCAGGGGTTCTCATCCCCTTTCCAGAGCTGGGCTACATTCGTCCTTTCTTTTCTACTCGCGAACCGCAAAGTTATACGACAATTTACTGAAACATCAAATTTCTGTCCTTTGTTTTTCGCAGCTGGATTGCTGGCATAAAATGTTGAAATTATCCACCGTTTCGACAAACATTACAGTTGCCATTTTCAGGGTAAATAAGAAACTTTTTTTTGGGGGGGGGGGCAGCCTTAAAAAGGCCAGACAGTTTTCTGATACCAGGTAAATATATTTCGGCATACTCACACAAGGTGACACAGTATAGAAAAGTGTACGCGGGCCTCATGCGGTCCATGGGTTGAGAACACCTACTTTAAGGGTTCCATCCTCCACATTTAGAACCTTCCCTTGAAATGTCTAAGATGATACGTGATTTTACTCTGCTACACTGGCCGTAGATAGATAGAGCCCCATCTCCGAAACGTCGTTTTACGTTTTATATTTTATTTACTAGGCGATGGATAATATCCAAGAAAATTTTTATTCAAATGACTCTTCACCATCGTCAAGAACTTTTAGATTTGATATAGTCTACAGGTCTTACGTCAACACATAATGGACTTAAAATTCGCTCGCTCGTCATCTTTAAACGTGGAATTCTCATCGAAATCTACCGAGTAATTTCGTAGGCGAAACATGTATATGGTTTGAGACACTATCATTAACCCTTTGAAGACGCGAAATTCTGTTGACTTCAGGATCCGAGAATCGAGGTGAAAATTACATCATCGCTGTTCTCATTTTCAGACACCTGGCACACGAGGCCGATGTATCACATTATGGGAGCAGCATGGCAGTTATCAACGGGGAGGACGGGTCGTGGATTCTCCGAGAAACACGCGCTGCCTCGGACTTATTTAAGCTTCGAAATAGCACAGCCAACTCCTCTGCGGTAACATGTAAGCCTAGTGCTACAGACTATGCAAAGACTGGCATGACGTTCAATTACAGTGTAATAGTTATTATTATTATTATTTAGTGTTCTGTCTGACGACAGGTCCATATGAACAGGATCCTTCCATCCTTTTCTCTTCTCGGACTGGGACCTGTTCATATACGTTCTTGGCAGATGATCCAGAAGTGGTTTGCCATTGCCTTCTTCTGTGTGTGAATGGAGTAATTGTTGGGATGCCACGGAGGAAAACCCCGTGTTGCCTAGACCACGATCTTGCCCAACACAAGTTATAAATTCCGCCACCGCCGGGAATCGAACCCGAGAACCCAGGATTACAAGGCCAGCGTTCTAACCGCTAGACCACCGTGGCAGGTGCCAGGTAATACGAGGTTAAATATACAAAACGCAGTATGAGGAAAACACAGTCACGGACAGATGAGTACACACTATCAGTATTAGAAGCATATGAAGAAAATCAGAAAAGTTTACTTCGGTATAATCAGCCGAATCTTATTATAAACCATAGGCCATTAAATACCCCAGTTAATTATAAAATCACACCATCTGTTGACTGGGACATGATTGTAAGGGCTCACAAGTGTTAATTAAACCTAATTAACACTTATTATGAGACGGGCATCATTATTTTACCAAATTAAAATCTTCCTTTGCTAATCGCAGGTGAACTGAAGATAACCTTGTCATCTTGTTAGTCAAATTTGGACAGTGAAAAATTTGTTATCAAAAGCAACAACATTTAACAACTGCAATATTAAAACTGAATTCCTTTAAAGGCGATTACCATGACTCTCTGAAGGGCAGTCTCATCACTTGGATATAATTTATTTAGTCGTCTCAAAGACCCAGCTAAAATATCGAGCACGGAATTACGAAAATTATATGATACTCTCCTATGCTGCATAGATTTTACATGCAAATTAAAACAACGTATTAGTCGAGTGACTAACACTTGTACTTTGTATTCAGAAGATCCGGGTTCAAATTCTGATCTGGCTATCATTTGGCCTTCAGACAAATACTACTTCCTTCCAAATCCATTCACAAATTAACCCACAATTTGACGCTGAGGGACATATGAAGCTGAGAAAGCTCCGTTTACTAAAACAGGAACCAAACAACAGCATTTAAAAGATCTTCGGTGGATGCTCTAGAAAGAAAATGCTTTACTTAAACATAACACCTGTGCCTTGTCGTGGTGGTGGGGCTTGAGTACCTCAGTGACCCCAAGAGCTACTGGTAGGGCCACCCTAGCCAGATTGGTCGAGGGGGAGAGGTCAGACTAAGATAGGTACCCTGATCCTCAAGGTTGGGGGTTGGTCGCAAGGCTAACAACCTTGCACCGTAAAAAGGAACATGTTTCGAGACCTCAATCAAAGCCTCGGACAGACAGACCTAACAGAGGACCGAATGGAAGAGGAGAATTGAGTAGGCCATGGACCAAATACGGACCGGAGAGCCATAGAAGAAGAGGTTCATTAACAGGTATTGAAAATTGAGATTAAGCTCATATCGAGCAGCAAATCCTTGAAAACCAGAACGGTGTTAACTTGAGAGACAAACTCACCGGTAACTCTGAAACACTGGGAACAGGCTGAGGGTCTGGCAACACGGCACTGGCAGGAGGAGCTGGAAGCGGAGCCAAATTTGTCACTACTGGCTGGCTACTGCGTTCCTCCTTGGTCGTCACAATGGCTACAGGCGTCGCAGAACTGCTGGTTGTCGGAGTGCCACGCTGAACTACTGAAAGCGTCGTTAAACAAGCCAAGTATAAAGGCAAAAATTTCTTGTTTTAGTTTTCAAATGTAATTAACACATCACCTACAATATCATAGCCCACACTAATCACATAAAACTTCAAATAAATTATTCGTATTTTTCAGACGTGAGATTCGTTTATCTGGCATCAGAAGTCAACCATTATCGTTTCAAAGAACTGTCAATGATCGACCCTTCTTATCCTGACGTGGCAACTGCTTCTCCAGATAGTAAGGTTGAAACGGTGGTTTCAAAAATCATCAGCAGTATCTCGACAGGTAAGTTCATTTAAAATGGGAGAGAGGATTGATTACATATCTTATTTCAACATTTTTCGATACTACGGTGTATAATTAAAATATCAAGCATCTAAATAACATTTAATAATTATTTTCTTTCCTCAAAGAAAATACAAAGAGTGTTAATTGGTTTATTTTTAAGACTACTTATAAAAATAATAGTCTACATTTGTAAATACAGGGGAAAAAAATGTCTAAACTGTGCAATATAGAAGAAATAGAGCTGACCAGTATTTTTGTACGAAGATTCAGACTCGGTCACTTATATTTTATTCATCTAATTTCAGTTCCCGGGAGGATAACGGGCGCCTACTGCGACGACGGTAAAAATCAGGATACACGAACGGGATTCGAAGGCTACGTCACACCTGGCTTCCCCATCAACTACCGCATACACTCGCTCTTCCTCGAAAACACAGAGGAAGTCAGACTGAAGGTAGTAACTCCTTCCACGTTACACACAACGTCTGTCGTTTACGAACACGTAACTTCGGTCCCTTTTCGTCGACAAACTATCTGGCAAATCCCAAGATGTCGATATTGGGGTCTTCTGGGTTGTGATGCTGCGTGGAATTGTGTGACCAACGTTTCGGAAGAACATACATATCTGAAGATGTAAGCAGAACGTTCCTCCGAAACAATGCCATCCACCTACTAAGCCACACTGAGGAACAACCCAGACGACCATGACCCTTCGTATTCACACAAAAGTAATATTCAGTTTCAGGGAAGTGGTCACGGGAATCTACGCACGTGCGTGTCGCGTGACCAGGGAAGTATCGGGACGAACTGTATCGAGGTGAAGGACCTTGAAGAGGCGGTTCTCAAGATCCCCTCTCCTTGCGCTGGTTACCCCTACCAATGTCCACCAGCGTACCTGACCGTCACAGTAACAAGAACCTTGACGCGGTGTGCAGGTACGCACAATTCCACAACAACAGAATTCAGGTGTTCTGGAAAACTTTTTGAGCAAAGAGTCGCTGTTGTTAATAAACTGTGCATTCTTCATTCGTTCCTGCCTGTTGAAGGTGGGGAAAAGCTTCCCCCAATACACGATCAGTTACTTACTGCGAGCTGTACTGAGGACATGACAGCTGTTTTACTCAGTTTTAAATAAAATCAACCTTCTGACATGTTTCCCCAATCTTTCTACCGAAGTTATGACGTCACAAGTTAATTTGCACATTTTTTTAACTGATCGTGTATACATAACCTCTTAGGTAGGAATTGCAAATACGCGGGCACACGGAACTGCATGTTAATCCATACCACACATGATGAATGATTTGAGAAAAGTGATGTTTTCTGTACTCACCATCGACACCCCAGCCAGTATGAAGAACTCTGGAATAAGCCATCATTCTGTTTCTCCGGAAGAAATGAGTATCACTTTATGCACCAATTGAAAATCTTCACCATTTCCACACACTACACAACACTTATCAACAAACAACAACATCGAATTTTGTGTTCACGTAATTTGGTTACACGGAAATATCAGACCAATACTTATCAGCGAGAGATCGATTCGTAGTCACGCAGATGTCATTTGTTTTAAGTATGAGGCGGAGACATTTTAAGACTAACCCTACATGTTCACACTGTTGTCCCGAAAATAAACAAACCTGATTAGTCACACTGCCATTTTGTCACTGTGGGCTGGGATACAAAAGTGAAATCACGTATTATTTGTACACTGCACATGAAACTACGCGAGTCCGGCTAAAATCTGTTAAACAACCCCCATTCTTCCCCATATAACGTGGCGCTATCTGCATGTCATCGCTCCAAACAAAAACAACTGAAACACGACACCGCTCTGTGGCAGTCAATTGTTTCAGAGTGCGTTCACTTATTTATGGCAAGGTAAATGCGGTCATGTGAGGGTGGGTTCAACTTGGTTTCGACATATGTAATACAGATAACATTACACTCTGCAGCTACTAATATATCAATCATAACCAATTATAACACAAAATAAACAAAATTTTGGTTTCTGCCTCCAAATAAATACATTAAAATACCTTTACAAATATCAGTCTTTTAATGATGTTTTAAGAAGTTTTGAGACAGACTTTTTTAGATAAAATATTCTCGCCTGGATCGTAGAAAACATTCTCTTAATTTAATATATCTTCTTCGTGAAAGTAATTCTGGTTTGTCATTGCCATTTTAAAATAATTTATTAGCTATCTTATATTTAGACAAACCTCCTTTTAAACAGAGATGATCTGATTTATAAGCACGTGAAGTTAATACCAAGTGTTTGTATTGGGACTTTAAAATAAATGTCAGTTTCGTAAACTAAGTTTATTAATTATAAGGACTCTGACCAGAATTGTGTTTATTTCGTTTCAGAGGACGACTGCCGATATCCGGATCAAGTGAGATTTCTAATGCGTCACGAGGGCCTCAGATGCTTCAGGAGTCCAGATTTTACAGACAGCAGTACGGTTGTTGCATCTGGGAATTCAAACCTTTATCTGTACGTGGCTTTCCAAACTTTGTCACTCTACGTGGTTTCTAAGATAATCGGAACATTTTAATAAGGTTACATCACATCTGAACAAAAAAAAAATATTCATAATGACTTTTATAAAATGAGGTGTCTAAAAGAATTTCAAAAATACGTTAACTTATATTTTCAACACTGCCAGGTAAACAAAAAATCCAACGCTCTTGTACCTAAACGAAAACAAAACGTGCAACAATATTGTTTACAATTTTCTGAAGAAAATATTTGCACGCAAATCAATATTGCATGAAACATATCTGCGTGGTTATATGGGTACTGTTGTATAGTATATGATACGCCATTTTCAAAACACACAAATCAAGGTGTGACGAAGTCCATGGTAACAAAAAACTTGATGTATTCTATAAAATACCTTCACACAGTCCTTCAGTATTATGTAACACACTTATAAGAAAAATAAATTACACAGCTCGCTCCTTATCGCTCACGTAGGACATTGCCTTTAACTAAATTTCAATAGAATAAAAATTATCTTTTACGTTTTATATTTACTAGACGATGGATAATATCCAAGAAAATTTGTATTCAATTGACTCTTCACCATCGTCAAGAAGTTTTAGATTTGATATAAATTTCAATAATTTGCAGAAAGTGACCATCAAAGTTAATTTGATCAATATATAAATCGTACTTATTTATAATGTAATACAATATATTTCAGCTATTAGCTTGTTACATATTACAATAATGCACACACGTTTCATAACAAAATGACAAGAAACAGTTACATATATCAGGTGCAATGGTTCCTCGAACTTAAAAATTAATTTTTGTGTTCATTACATTCTACAGTTTGGTGTGCATTTTCATGACCGAACTGAACATAACATAGATCATAATATCAATATTTGTGCAATACGTGACTGAAATGCCTAAGAAATTTAATATCTGACAAAATGGTTTTACTACCATCTTCAGGCAATAATTGGTTGTCGTGTTGGAATCATTTTTATTTTTT